GTATCCCCAAACCCCTCCCAGTCCCCCCCCAGTATCCCCCAGTCCCTCACAGTTCCCTCCCAGCCCCTCGCAGTCCCTCGCAGTATCCCCCAGTTCCCTCCCAGTTTATCCCAGTATCCCCCAGTCCCTCCCAGTTCCCCCCCAGTTCCTCCCAGTCCCCTCCCAGTATCCCCCAGTCCCTCCCGGTATCCCCCAGTCCCCTCCCAGTTCCCTCCCAGTTCCTCCCAGCCCCTCCCAGCATCCCCAGTTCCCTCCCAGTTTATCCCAGTTCCCTCCTAGTATCCCCCAGTCCCTCCCAGTATCCCCCAGTCCCTCCCAGTTCCCTCCCAGTATCCCCCAGTCCCTCCCACTATCCCCCAGTCCCTCCCACTATCCCCCAGTCCCTCCCAGTCCCTCCCCCCGAGACCCTTTGGAATTTCTCCTCCCCCCAGGGGTCAAAGGTCACGGAATGGAGCGGGAAAGGCTCGGAGCACTGGTGATACTGGGAGGTACTGGGAGGGACTGGGAGGGTCTGGGAGGGACTGGGAGGGAACTGGGAGGGACTGGGATGAACTGGGAGGGACTGGGATGAACTGGGAGGGAACTGGGAGGGAACTGGGAGGGACTGGGATGGACTGGGAGAGAACTGGGATGGACTGGGATGGAACTGGGAGGGGTTTGGGGATACTGGGAGGGACTGGGATGAACTGGGAGGGACTGGGACGGAACTGGGATGGAACTGGGAGGGACTGGGAGAGAATTGGGAGGGAACTGGGAGGGGTTTGGGGATACTGGGAGGGACTGGGATGAACTGGGAGGGACTGGGACCAGTGCCTGCCCCAAACTGGTTTAACTGGTGTCCCCTCTCACCCTCCCAGTTCTGTCCCTGGCCAGAGGGGATCCCCCCGGTAAGTGGGGACAAACTGGGACGGACTGGGACGGACTGGGATGGACTGGGAGGGACTGGGAGGGAACTGGGAGGGACTGGGACCAGTGCCTGCCCCAAACTGGTTTAACTGGTGTCCCCTCTCACCCTCCCAGTTCTGTCCCTGGCCAGAGGGGACCCCCCCGGTAAGTGGGGACAAACTGGGACGGACTGGGACGGACTGGGATGGACTGGGATGGACTGGGAGGGACTGGGATGGACTGGGATGGACTGGGATGGACTGGGACGGACTGGGATGGACTGGGATGAACTGGGATGGACTGGGCTGAACTGGGTCATACTGGTCATACTGGGACAGAAAACCCATCGGGGTTTACACTGGGCGGGGGAAGCCTGTACCGGTCCATACTGGTTTATACTGGTTTGTACTGGTTTATACTGGTTTGTACTGGTTTATACTGGTTTATACTGGTTTGTACTGGTTTGTACTCGTTTATACTGGTTTGTACTGGTCCCTCTGACCCCCCCCCTTCCTCCCCCCGCAGATGCCACCAGTCCTTTCCACTATGGTGAGTGCAGGGAACTGGGAGGGACTGGGAATGTCCCCAGGTGTCCCCAGGGTGTCCCCAAGGTGTCCCCAAAGTGTCCCCAGGTGTCCTCAAGGCATCCCAAGGTGTCCCCCAGGTGTCCCCTGGTGTCCCCAAGGTGTTCCCAGGTGTCCCCTGGTGTCCCCAAGGTGTTCCCAGGTGTCCCCGAGGTGTCCCCAGGTGTCCCAAGGTGTCCCCAGGTGTCCCCAAGGCATCCCCAGGTGTCCCCAAAATGTCCCCAAGGTGTCCCCAAGGTGTCCCCAAAGTGTCCCCAGGTGTCCCCAGGTGTCCCCAGGTGCCTCCAGGTGTCCCCAAGGTGTCCCCAAGGTGTCCCCAAAATGTCCCCAAGGTGTCCCCAAAGTGTCCCCAGGTGTCCCCAGGTGTCCCCTGTCCCCTCCCCAGACTGGTGTCACCTGCGCGTCGGTGGCCTCGTGGTGGCAGCGGTGCTGAGCGTGGTGGGGATCATTGTCCTGTTCAGTGAGTGACTGTCACCTGTGTCACCCATGTGTCACCTGTGTCACCTGTGTCACCCGTGTGTCACCTGTGTGTCACCTGTCACCTGTGTCACCTGTGTCACCCGTGTGTCACCTGTGTCACCCATGTGTCACCTGTGTGTCACTTGTCACCTGTGTCACCTGTGTCACCTGTGTCACCTGTTTCAGTGTCACCTGTGTCACCTGTCACCCCTGTGTCACCTGTGTGTCATCTGTGTGTCACCCATCACCTGTGTGTCACCCGTCTGTCACCTGTGTGTCACCTGTCACCCATGTCACCTGTCACCTGTGTGTCACCTGTCACCTGTGTCACCTGTCACCTGTGTGTCACCTGTGTGTCACCTGTCACCTGTGTGTCACCTGTGAGTCATCTGTGTCACCTGTCACTTGTGTGTCACCTGTGTGTCACCTGTGTCACCTGTCACCTGTGTCACCTGTCACCTGTGAGTCACCTGTGACCTGTGTCACCTGTCACCCGTGTGTCACCCCTGTCACCTATCAGCTGTGTCACCCATGTGTCACCTGTGTCACCCTCCCGTCCCCTGCGTGTCCTCGGTGTCACCTGGCGGTTCCTGATGTCACCTTTGTGTCCCCTCAGGTGGGAAGTGCAAGTGCCGGAGCAAGGCCAGGTGGGACCTTCTGACACCTGGGGACACTTGGGGACACCTGGGGACACTTTGGGGACACCTGGGGACATTTGGGGACACCTGGGGACACTTTGGGGACACCTGAGGACATTTGGGGACACCTGGGGACACTTTGAGGACACTTGGGGACACCTGGGGACACTTTGGGGACACTTGGGGACATTTGGGGACACTTGGGGACACTTTGGGACATTTGGGGACACCTGGGGACACTTTGGGGACATCTGGGGACACTTTGGGGACATTGAGGTGTCCCCTCTCCCTCCCCACAGCCGCCGCCACCCCCCAGCAGAGCTGTCACCCCTGGCAGGGACAGGTGAGTGTCCCCTCCCCCCTTGGGGACATCGTGGGGACAGTGCCACCCTCACCCCACCCCCGTCTCTCCACAGGAGCCACCGGCTCGCGCTGAGCTGTCCCCAAGTGTCCCCAAACGTCCCCGAGAGGTGACAGAGGGGAGGGGACGGAGCCCTCGGGGATGTCCCCAAATGTCCCCAAGGAGGAGCAGGAATAAAAATGGGGCAAAAAAAGGAGATTTTGGTCATTGGGGGAGGGGCGGCAACAGCGGGGGACGGAGGAGGTGACACGGGGACATCGGGTGAGGGTGGTGGCACCAGGAGGTGACACGGGGACATCGGGTGAGGGTGGTGGCACCAGGAGGTGACACGGGGACATCGGGTGAGGGTGGTGGCACCAGGAGGTGACACGGGGACATCAGGTGAGGGTGGCCTTGGGGATATCAGGTGAGGGTGGTGGCAGCAGGAGGTGGCATGGGGTCAATGGTGGCCTTGGGGACATCGGGTGATGGTGGCACCAAGAGGTGACACGGGGACAGGGGTGGGGACATCAGGGTGATGGTGGCAGCAGGAGGTGACATGGGGTCAATGGTGGGGACATCGGAGTGATGGTGGCAGCAGGAGGTGACACGGGGACAGGGGTGGGGACATCAGGGTGATGGTCACAACAGGAGATGACACAAGGCAGAGGTGACACAGGGTCAATGGTGGCCTTGGGGACATCGGGGTGATGGTGGCCCCAGGAGGTGACACGGGGTAAATGGTGGCCTTGGGGACATCGGGTGAGGGTGGCACCAGGAGGAGACACCAAGGCCAAGGTGACATGGTGACCTTGGGGACATCGGGGTGATGGTGGCACCAGGAGGTGACACGGTGACCTTGGGGACATTGGGTGATGGTGGCCCCAGGAGGTGACACCAAGGCAGAGGTGACACAGTGGCATTGGGGACATCGGGGTGATGGTGGTACCAGGAGGTGACACGGGGTCAGTGGTGGCCTTGGGGACATCGGGGTGATGGTGGCCTTGGTGACATGGTGGCCTTGAGGACATCGGGTGATGGTGGTGGCAGCAGGAGGTGACACGGGGTCAATGGTGGCATTGGGGACATTGGGTGATGGTGGTGACAGCAGGAGGTGACACAGGGTCAGTAGTGGCCTTGGGGACATCATGGTGACAGTGGCATCAGGAGGTGACACCAAGGCCGAGGTGACACGGGGTCAATGGTGGCCTTGGGGACATTGGGTGATGGTGGCACCAGGAGGTGACACGGTGGCCTTGGGGACATCGGGTGATGGTGGCCCCAGGACCCTGCTGGATGTGGCCGTGTCCCTCAGGTGACCAAGCCCATGGGGATGTCCCCACACCCCTGCAGCTGCACCAGCCTGTGGTGGCACCACTGTCACCACGGTGTCCCCACAGTGTCCCCTCGTGTCCCCATCTCCACAGTGACCTGGTGGCCACCGTCCCCATGGTGTCCCTTCATGTCCCCACGGCATCCCTTCGTGTCCCCATGGTGTCCTCTTGTGTCCCCATCTCCACAGTGACCTGGTGGCCACCGTCCCCATGGTGTCCCCTCAGGTCCCGATATCCACAATGACTTGGTGGCCACCATCCCTGTGTCCCCTCATGTCCCCATCTCCTCGGTGACCTGGTGACACCACCATCCCGTGTCCCCTCACATCCTAATGTCCATGATGACCTGGTGGCCACCATCCCCAGATGTCCCCTCACATCCCAATGTCCTCAGTGACCTGGTGGCCATCATCCTGGTGTCCCCTCAGGTCCTGATGTGCTTGGTGACCTGGTGGCCACCATCCCCATGTCCCTTCACGTCCCCATCTCCATGATGACCTGGTGGCACCACCATCCCCGTGTCCCCTCAGGTCCTGATGTCCATGATGACCTGGAGGCCACCATCCCCCAGATGTCCCCTCAGGTCCTGATGTCCACGATGACCTGGTGGCCACCATCCCCCATGTCCCCTCATGTCCCCTCAGGTCCCAGTGTCCATGGTGACCTGGTGGCCACCATCCCCAGATGTCCCCTCAGGTCCCGATGTCCACAATGACCTGGTGGCACCATCCCTGTGTCCCCTCATGTCCCCATCTCCACAATGATGTGGTGGCCACCATCCCCATGTCCCCTCATGTCCCCTCAGGTCCCAGTGTCCATGGTGACCTGGTGGCCACCATCCCCAGTGTCCCCTCAGGTCCCAATGTCCACAATGACCTGGAGGCCACCATCCCTGTGTCCCCTCATGTCCTGATGTCCACGATGACCTGGAGGCCACCATCCCTGTGTCCCCTCACATCCCAATGTCCATGATGACCTGGTGGCCACCATCCCCCAGATGTCCCCTCACGTCCTGATGTCCACAATGACCTGGTGGCCACCATCCCGTGTCCCCTCATGTCCCGATGTCCTCGGTGATGTGGTGGCACCATCCCCGTGTCCCCTCATGTCCCAATGTCCTTGGTGACACCATCCCCGTGTCCCCTCATGTCCCGATGTCCACGATGACCTGGTGGCCACCATCCCCATGTCCCCAGATGTCCCCTCAGGTCCTGATGTCCTCAGTGACCTGGTGGCCACCATCCCCGCATCCCCTCAGGTCCCCTCAGGTCCCGATGTCTTCGGTGACCTGATGGCCACCGTCCCCAGATGTCCCCAGATGTCCCCTCAGGTCCCGATGTCCTCGGTGACGTGGGCATAGATCTGGGTGGCCCCCTTGAAGCTGGTGGCCAGCAGGAAGTGCCGGTGGCCGGCGGTGACGGGGACGAAGGCGCGGGGGGTGGGCGCGGGCAGGTCCTGGCCGGGCTCCAGGCGTCCGGCCGGGCCCAGGCGGAAGACGCGGCTCGGGGCGAAGTCGTTGCCCAGCAGGACGTAGCGGTGGCCGGCCAGGACCAGCGGCTGGAACACCAGCGAGCCACGGGCCGGCACCTGCTGCACCTCGCGGAACATGGAGCCCTCCCAGCGCATCACCTGCGCAACGGGGGCAGAGCGGGGTCACTGTGGGGTCATGGGGTCAGCCAGGGGTCAAACCGGGGTCACGGGGTCAAACCGGGGTCATTTGTGGGGTCACGGGGTCAAACCGGGGTCACTTGTGTGGTCATGGGGTCAAATGGGGGTCACGGGGTCAAACCGGGGTCACGGGGTCAAACCGAGGTAATTTGTGGGGTCACGGGGTCAAACCAGGGTCAAAGGGTCACTCGGGGGTCACTGGGATCGCTCAAGGGTCACTTATGCGGTCACGGGGTCAAATGGGGTCACGGGGTCAAACCGGGGTCACGGGGTCAGCTGGGGTCAAATGGGGTCAGCCAGGGGTCACTGTGGGGTCACGGGGTCACTCGGGGGTCATGGGGTCAAACCGGGGTCATGGGGTCACTGTGGGGTCATGGGGTCAAAATGGGGTCATGGGATCAAATGGGGGTCACAGGGTCAAACCGGGGTCATGGGGTCAAAGCGGGGTCAAATGGGGGTCACTTGGGGCTCATGGGGTCAAACCGGGGTCATGGGGTCAATGTGGGGTCACGGGGTCAACCGGGGGTCACGGGGTCAAATGGGGGTGACGGGGTCACTGTGGGGTCACGGGGTCAAACGGGGGTCACGGGGTCAAACCAGGGTCACTCAGGGTCAGCTGGGGGTCACAGGGTCAGCCGGGGGTTATGGTGCCAAATGGGGGTCACAAGGTCAGCCGGGGGTCAGCTGGGGGTCATGGGGTCAACCAAGGGTCATGGGGTCAGACGGGGGTCAACTGGAGGTCACAGGTTCAACTGGGGGTCACGGGGTCAACCGAGGGTCATTGTGGGGTCACGGGGTCACTGTAGGGTCACTCGGGGGTCATTTGTGGGGTCATTGGCGGGGTCACTCGGGAGTCACTTCTGGGGTCACTCAGGGGTCACTCTGGGGTCACTCGGGGGTCTTCAGGTCACGGGTGGGGTCAATCGGGTCACTGGTGGGGTGGGTGGTGGGGTCACTCGGGTCACTGGTGGGGTCACAGGGTCACTCAGGGGTCACTCCAGGGTCACTCATGGGGTGGGTGGTGGGGTCACTGGTGGGGTCACATGGGTGGGTGGTGGGGTCACTGTGGGGTCACTGGTGGGGTCACAGGGTCACTGGTGGGGTGGGTAATGGGGTCACTCTGGGGTCACAGGGTCACTCGGGGGTCACGGGGTCACTCTGGGGTCACTCGGGTCAACCGGGGGTCACAGGGTCACTGTGGGGTCACTAGGGGGTCACTGGTGGGTCACTCGGGGTCACTGGTGGGGTCACAGGGTCACTCTGGGGTCACTCTGGGGTCACAAGGTCACTCTGGGGTCACTCGGGGGTCACTGTGGGGTCACTCGGGGGTCACAGGGTCACTCAGGGGTCACTCGGGGGTCACTTACGGTGTGGGTGGTGGCACCAAGGGTTGGGTTGGAGCTCTCGGGGTCAGGAGGTCAGCGGTGGCATTGTGTGACCCCGATTGACCCCTGCGGCCACGCGCTGACCACCACAACCGCCTGCGGCGGTGCTACACCACCCTCGCGACCACCCTTGACCACCTGACCCTGCTGACCCCCCATGACCACCTGACCCTGCTGGCCCTCCATGGACCCCCAGGACCCTGCTGACCCCACCACAACCCTGCTGACCCCCCACGACCCTGCTGACCCCCCATGACCTCTGTGGACCCCCACGACCCTGCCAACCCCCCATGACCTTGGTGGACCCCCGTGACCCCCCATGACCACACCATGACACTGCTGACCTTCCATGACCCTGCTGACCCCCCATGACCACATGACCTTGGTGGACCCCCATGACCTCAAAGGACCCCCATGACCAGCTGACCCTGCTGACCCGCATGACCTTGATGGGCCCCCCATGGACCCCCCATGACCCTGCTGACCCCCCATGACCTCTGTGGACCCCCCATGGACCCCCCATGACCCTGCTGACC